TTGGATGTTATAAGCTGTAGCAACCGCGGCAATTACACGATCGATGGTCCGCCTGTGAATTTACTGGCGAAGTGTATTGAAGAGTTTGTTTCCTACGGCTCCAATGCCGCTTGGAAGCGTGTCGGTGGATGCCAGCATCCGTCTTAGAAATACGGCTCGGCCAAGGTGCTGGAGCTCGCATTGGCCTTGGACCTCCGCCGCGCGTGGGGTAGGACAGGCTGGCGTGGGAGTGTCTTGGGATTCCGCCCCCGTGGTTCGGGCTTTATCCTGGTATTCCCATGCAAGTTTGTTTTGACTTAGCCGCCCGAAGTGTTCATGCCATGCCATCTCTTCTCATATCCTCCTCCTCCGCCCCCTCCCGCTTCAATTGCGTAGAGCTGGGCTCTTCCTCCCCCTCCTCCCCCTTCTCCTGCCCCCCTGCCCCTACCTCATCCCGCCTCCTGCCGTTACCTCCTCTTCCCTCTTGCCTCTACCTCCTCCTCCTCCTCCTCCTCCTCCTGCCTCTCCTCCTCCTTCTCCTCCTCCTCCTCCTCCTCCTCCTCCTCCTCCCCTACCGCCTCCTCCTCCTGCCTCCTCCTGCCTTTTCCTACCTCCTCCTCCTCCTCCTCCTCACCTCCTTTGCGTGGTGTGGGAGTAGAGAATACGAAAAATGCCTCCTCCTACCCCCTCTTCTTCCTCCCACTTCCAACCTTCTGCCCCAACCTCTTGCTCCTCCTCCTGCTCCTCCTCCTCCTCCCTCTCCTCCTCCTCCTTCTTCCCCTCCCTTCCCCTCCCCCCCTCCTCCTCCTCATCCTCCTCCCCCCTCCTCCCCTCCTCCTCCTCCTCCTCCTCTCCTCCTCTCCTCCCTCCTCCTCCTCTCCTCCTCCTCCTCTCCTTTGGCAGCGGGAGACCGCAGTCCCGTGCGCACGTTGGCGTGGCCATGCGCCGCCCCCCCCCCCCCCCCCGAAGAGCCGCCGTTGCCCAGCGCCGGACAGGAGCGCCCGCCAGCCAACCAGCGGAGCAGGGAGTGCGGGCCGCAGTTCCCCCCCCCTGCGCGGAGGTCCCCCGGCGGGCAGCGGCGCCCCGATCGGCGCTTCTCCAGCGGCGCCTTGGGCTCCAGGCGGCAGGAGCCTCGCGGCGGGCAGGGTTTGCCGCCGTTGTCGTCGTCGTCGTCGCCGTCGTCGCCGTCGTCGTCGTCGTCGTCGTCGTCGTTGTCGCCGTCGTCGTCGTCGTCGTCGTCGTCGACGTCGTAGTCGTCGTAGTCGTCGTCGTCGTCGTCGTCGTCGTCGTCGTCGTCGTCGTCGGCGTCGGCGGTATCATCGTTGTCGTCGTCATTGTCGTCGGCGTTCGTTTTGGCACGACCTGGTGTGGCTGATTGTCCACCTTCGCGCAGCCGTTGGCCACCAGGAAATTAAAAAAGGGGCTCGGAGCAATTGTGTTTTTTTCATCTGTTCATTTGCGACCTCCATCTCCAGCGCATTCGCTGTTTTTATTTTTTTGACGCGCTTCTAGAACGCCAGCCAAAAAAGACAGAGTCTTTGGTTTTGCCAGGTGCGAAAACGATGGAGCAACACTGGTGCTTTGGATCTTTCTTGGCAGCTCATCGGCATGTCCCTCTCCCGCGTCCACGGCATCCCAGTACTGCCTGGTCTGAATTTTACTTTCAGGCCTACTACTCATTGACCGTAGCACTGCTGTAGCAGGCTCCTCTGCCCAGTGCCCACCAGAGCCGAACGCACCGTGAGCATGTTCGGCCTGTTCCGAGGAGAGAACCCACGCAAAGCCGCCAACAAGACCATCGTACCTAGCAGTGGCTCGGGACCCAGTACCCGCCCCCTCGCCCGATCACGCGGCCCGCGGGCCTTCCACCGCGATGGCCGAAGGGGGCGGCGGGCCGCCCAGGCGGACGCTCACGGGCCGGCGGACCCTCACGGGGCTCACGGAGGTGCCCGTGGTGGCCAAGGCCTACCCGCGGCTGCTGGGCAGGTCGTCCTCGGCAGGCGCCGGTGCCGCGCGCAAGGACGACGGGTCCCCGTCAGCCGCGGCGGCCCGAGAGCAGGCCGGGCGTGAGGCTGCGCGGGCAGGCGACCGCAGCAGCGGCACGCCCGGGGCGGGCGACCACAGGCGGCCGAATGCCACCGCCGGCGCAGGGCCCGCCTCGGCCTGCCCAGCCCCGGCGTGCGCGGGCTGCCCGACGCTGCTGAGGGCCTCCAGCAGCGCGCCGAGGCTGCGCTGCCGCGCCGCCTACAAGCTCTTCGAGGAGGTCGAAGGGCCGGGCAGGCTCCGGCGTGGCCCCGCGAGCCGCCGGCGGGGCGCGGGCCCTGCGGTTCCAGGGCCGGCCGATCGGCAGCGGGAGCCCGGCAGGCCGCGCGCCCAGTGCGCCCATGCAAGCAGCGCGCCGCTGGCTGCCAGGCCGGCCGTTGGCGCGCGTGGGCGGCACGACTGCGGCCGGCGGAGGCTGATCACGGCGCGGCTGCGGCCCCCAGCGGCGGCCTCGGCGCGGGTCCGCAGCGGCTGGGGCTTCCAGCTGTCGCGCGCGGAGGGCGGCTGCGGCCTGGCGGTCGCCAGCATCGGAGACGCGGGGCTGCTGGCGGCCTGGAACGCGGGCTGTGCGCACTCGGAGAAGATCGCGGTGGGGGACAGGGTCGAACAGGTGAACGGCTGCGGGACGGCGGCCTCTCTGCTCCGCGCACCGCCCGCCGGCGCCACGGTCGTCGTCTTCTCGCGCGCGGCGGGCGGCCAAAGGCCGTTCCAGGAATCGTCCGACCTCGCTTACGAGGAGGCGGCCGCGTGCTTCCCTGCGCCGGGCGAAGGCCCAGACGCTGGCTCGGCGAAGTACAAGGACGTCGAGGCCCTGGAGGCCTGCGTGCTGAGCGGCGACGTGGCCCTGCTGCGCGGCTCGTGGCTGTGCGCCCGCGCGCTGGGCGGCGGCACGCTGCCGAGGCGGCAGGAGCTGCCAGCAGGGGCGCTCTGGGGCGCTGACGACCTGTCGGCAGCGCTCCGCCGGGGCCAGCGGCTGCCGAAGAGGGTAAGCCGCTGCGCTCGCGTGCCCATCGTCGCGGTGTCCTACTGCTGGCTGGCGCGGGCGCACCCGGATCCGCAAGGGGCCTGGATGCAGCTGCTAGGTATGTTGGCTTTCGCGTCCCTGGAGCATCACAGGAGGGTCCTCGGAGACCGCACGTTTGACCTCGCTGTGTTCGTCGACTGGTGCAGCATGTACCAGGAGCCGAGGACCGACAGCCAGAGCGTGTCCTTCAAGAGGGCGCTGAAGAGCGCTGTCATTTGGTTTGCGCATCCGATGGTTGAGAAGTGGCTGCTGACGAAGCTGCCCCACGACTGCGATGGGCCTCAGTACGACGAGCGTGGATGGCCCAGCTTTGAGCGGATGCTGGCCAGCATGACCACCCGCCAGGACTCCATACTCGACCTGGGGCTCGTGCCTTACAACCTGGCATGGAGCTCCGACATATTCGAAGACTCGGAGGGCGGCGCTGCCAACGAGTTCGTCTGTGACGCGGTCACGGGGAGGTGCATGACCTGGCCAGACATCAGCAGAGCCTCCCAAGGCGGCCGAGTGCCGCCCGTGGGGCCAGAGCTGTTCGGCGAGGAGCTGGCCGGCAAGGCGTGGGGGAGGCGGGCCGCCCTGCCCCTCGCGCGGAAGATGTACGCGCTGGCGTACGCCGAGGCCATGGAGGGGGCGGAGGAGCTCCACGTGCAGCAGTGCCGCTGGCGCGCCGAGCAGGTGCTGGTCCTCTCGCGCGCGCTGCCAGGACTGCGGGGCCTGCGGGTGCTCAACGTCCAGCACAACCTCGTGGACGACGAGGGCGCGGAGCACCTGGCAGCCGTCCTGCCCGCGTGCTGCCAGCTGCAGTGCCTGCTGCTGGGGCACAACCGCATCGACGACCTGGGCGCCGCGAGCCTGGCGGCGGCACTGCCGCTCTGCCCGCGGCTGAGCCACGTGGTGCTCGGGCAGAACTGCATGTCGGAGGGCGCCGCCTGTGCACCTGCACCTACCCTGGCCAGGCCAGTCCTGGGCCCCCAATCGGTGTACTGTAGTGGCCTCCAGCCAGTGCCGCCGATCTGGGGCGCTCCCGATGGTGCTTGGGTTCGCTTGGAGGCCAACGGGGCCGTCTTGGGGCCCTCTTGGGGCCGTCGTCGGGAGAGGCCTATTGATGGGGTCTTTGAGCCTCTTGGGGGCTTCTTGAAGCCTTTTTGGGCGGATATGCTTGCTTCGCCAGGCCAGGAGGGCGCGTACACGCCGGCCCAGGGCCCAGGGTGGAGGAGGAAGGGAGCAGGAGCATGAGGAGGAGGAGGAGGAGGAGAAGGAGGAGGAGGATGATGAGGAGGAGGAGGAGTTGGAGGAGGAGGAAGAGCAGGAGGAGGAGGAGGAGGAGGAGGAGGAGGAGGCCATATGGGTGCAAGCGTATCGTTGGCGCCCTTCGACGCATGGGGGACCCTGGCGCCGAGGCCCTGGCCGCTGTGCTCCGGACCTGCCTCTCGCTGGTCCTCGGCGGAGGAAAAGATATACGACGCCGATGCCGCCGCTCGTCCTGGAGAGCCCTCGTCGCCAGGGTGAAGTCGGGCATGTCCCTCTACAGGAGGAAAATTCAAACATAGTCTAAAAATAGTCAGGGGACGATTTTTCAACTATTATTGACTCTTTGGAGTATTTTTTGACTATTTTTTATTTCTCTTCCCAGATCCGCCTGTAGGAGGACATGTCCGACCTAACCCTCGTCGCCAGGGTTGGATTCTCCTCGAGGTTCTGGCCAGAAGGCCCCCCTGGGGAGGTCCGTGGAACAGCGGTGTCGCGGTACTTTTTTGGGAGCGGCGCCACCCAAACACATATTTACACACTAGGCGTGCGTGGCCTCCCCGAGGGGCGACGCGCTCGCCGAGACATCTTGTAGTACATGCTCGGTGGCGGACGCTTTTTGGCCATACTGCCTGGGTGGCGACGTACTATCATATATTTATACTCTGTGTCCGGTTCGGACGTGCGCCTCCAAGGGGGGCGCAAGGTCCACCTGGACGTCAGCAGCAACTGCGTCAGCGAGCGCGCCAAGCCCCGTGTGGCCAAGGCCTGGCAGGAGGCCGGCAAGCCCCTGGAGCGGAGGTCGGGGTGGCTCCGCAGCGCGCTCGGCCTCTGGCTGTGACCCGAGGCTCCGCGCCTGCCGCTTCCTCCGAGCAGGGCCGCACGGCCGCCTCAGCTCGGCGGGCCCGCAGCCGGCGGGCGGGCCCCGCGCCCCGGCCTGGCGGCGCGCGCGCTCCGCAGTGGCAGCGGGGCGGCGAAGAGGGCCGCCCCGCCGTCGCCGCCCTGCCCGGAGCTCCGAGGAGGGCCGGTCGAGGCGTCGGTGCCCGGCCTTCCGGGGGGCCCCCCTCGTCGCCACGGCCGGACGCAGCTCGGGCAGCGGGCGCTCTGGGGGCCCACGAGGGGTCCGGGCACCGAGTTGGGAGCTGCCGTCGTCTCGGATCGCCCTCCGCCTCGGCCTGGGCGTGCCCGGCCGGGCAGCTCCGCCACGGCGCGGGCGGGCTGCACGCCGGTGTGGCCGTGTGGCCGCGTGGCCACCCTCGAGCCGCAGAGCGCAGGCCGACGGCCGCAGCGCTCGCGCGGGGTGGGCAGTGCAGGGCAGGAAGGCGTGCGCGTGTTGCAGCGCCTCTGCACGCGGCGCTGCCCTCTCTCTTTTCCACTTCCACTTCCCCTCCATCCGAGGGCACCCACTCGTGCACCTGCACCCTTCCTGGCCAGGCCGATCCTGAGCCCAGGATCGGTGCTCGTGGCTTCCCGCGCACGAGCCGGGAGGGCGGGTACGCCGCTCCTTGGCCCAGGGTGTGACTGGCCAGGATCGGTGCAGGCGTACAGGTGGTGCCCTCCTGAGTTCCGCCTCGTCCCTTCCTCCGGAGCTCTCGCGATACCCCTCGTGCATGCGCTCCGCCCCACGGTGGTGCGCGCCTCGGCCGCGCCCCTTCCTCGTCGGCGCGAGCGTGCCCCGCCGTCCGGCTTTGAGAATTCGCCCCGCCACTCGCCTCCGCACCGCGCCACCTCCCAGCGTGCGGGCGAGGAGGCTCCACGGCAGGCTGCGGAGAGCCTCCCTTCCCCCGCGCTCGCAGCAGCCAGCTTCCCGTGCCGAGCGGCGGCGCGCCCGGGGCGGCGGGGGGGCACGGGCAGAGGGGGGGGGGTGGGCTTTCCCCGGGAGGCTCGGCAGGCCTCCGGCCTCGCGAGGAGCTCTCCGAGCCTCCTGCGAAACCGCGGAGGGCTTCTCGGAGAGCTGGAGCGCTTCCCAGAAGCCCCGCCGCCTTCTGCGAAGGCCGGCCCCCCGTCTCACTTCCCTCCTGGGTGCGCCGCCGAGGTGAAGAAGAGTGCTCCCGGGCTCAGAGCGTGGTGCCCGCACGGCCTGTACCCACTTGCAAGTCCCAGGATGACCTGAGCGGGTGGGGCACAGCCGCTTACGCGGATCGGAGAAAAAGAGCAAGATCGCCGGGATGCCTAAGTTTTCGAGTTCAAGCCATAACCGTGAGTTGCGATGATCGTGCCCCCCCACCTCCCTTCTCGGTGAACGTATGTCACGATCCACCCGGGAAAGTGATATTCCGCACCCAGAACCCTCGGTGCAGGATCCCACCACGATCATAATACGATGCCAACCAAGACCGCAGTCGGATTCCAATCAGTTTCTTGCAAGATTTCTGGAGGATTCCTCAGGATCCCTGAGAGATCCTCACAGTTCATAAAAAAGATCAAAATGGTCCCTGAAGGATTCCCGAAGGTTCTTGCAGGATTAATTTCTGCAGGATGCCCGCTGGATTCCTCATCATTCCTGAGATTCCCGAGCACTCCTGGAGGATTCTTGGAATGTCCTGGAGGATTCTTGAAGGTTTCCTAGAGGATTCGTGAAGGAGTTAGAAGGATTCTGAGAGACCTTTCGGCTTCCAGAAGATTCTGGAGGATTCCTGAAGATTCAAAGGAGATCCCTCAAGATTCCTGAAGGATTTCAGCCGATTCCTTCAACATTCGTGAGGATTCGTGCGGATTAGTGAGGATTCCGGAAAATTCGATTCCAAAGAGATTCCTGAAGGCAGTCTCCCATAAGCGTCCCCTATAGGTATAGTGCCCCCATGAGTAATTAGCTATAGGGCCCCCCCTCAATGCTTCCCGGGGTGCACTTGCCGACGGAGCCCCTCGGGCTCTCAAGGTCTCCCATGGCCTCGGGGTCTCAGGATGTCGGGGGCTGTTTGCCCAGGGGCTCCAGGATCTCGTTGCCTCCCGGCATCGGAAGGTCTCCCAGGGTCTGGGGGTCTCATAATGTCTTGGCCTTTGCGCTCACGGGGTCCAGGGTCTCGTAGCCTCCTCGGGTTTCAGGGTCGTCCAGGGCCCCGGGGCTTCCCGGGGCCTCAGGTCCCCCCCCAGGGTATTTGTGCATCAGGGCTCCAGGGTCTGGGCGCCTGAGGCACTGAGACTTGGCATCGCTCGGACGTGTGCATTTTTCCTTCGGCGAGGACAATCGAGGAGCATCCTTGATCATTTGGCGAACAAAAACGAAAGAGCGCCAGTGGATCACCTTGGACTTTAAAAGGGGGGGTGTGCTCCAGGGAACCCCTCCCCCCCCCCACCTTGAAGGGGGGGGGGGGGGTTCGGAACCCCCCCACCCCCCTCCCCCCCTTTCCGCAGGGGTCCGGGGCGAGCGAGCCGAGCGCGCGGACTGTTGGACGTACGTAGGGGCCGTCCAACAGTCCGCGCGCGAGGCGAGCGAGGTTTAGGGTTTAGGGTTAGGGTTAGGGGTTAGGGCTTAGGGTTAGGGTTAGGCATTAGGGTTTAGGGTTAGGGTTGAGGGGTCAGGGTTTAGGGTTCGGGTTAGGGTTTAGGGTTCGGGTTTAGGGTGAGGATTGGGCTTTATGGTTTAGGGGTAGGGTTAAGATTAGGGTTAGGGTTAGGGTTTAGGGTTAGGGTTAGGGTTAAGGTTTAGGGTTGGGGTTAGGGTTAGGGTTTAGGGTTAGGGTTTAGGGTTTAGGGTTGGGTTAGGGTTTAGGGTTAGGGTCAGGGTTAAGGTGTAGGATTAGGGTTAGGGTTAGGGTTAGGGTTTAGGGTTAGGGTTAGGGTTTAGGGTTTAGGGTTTAGGGTTAGGGTTTAGGGATTAGGGTTAGGGTTAGGGTTAGGGTTAGTTCTTAGGGTTTAGGGTTAGGGTTAGCGTTTAGGGTTAGGGTTAGGGCTAGGGCTAGGGTTTAGGGTTACGGTTAGGGTTAAGGGTTAGGGATTAGGGTTAGGGTTAGGGTTAGGGTTTAGGGTTAGGGTTTAGGGTTTAGGGTTAGGGTTAGGGTTTAGGGTTAGGGGTATGGTTTGTGTTGAGGGTTAAGGTTTAGGGTTAGGGTTAGGGTGAGGGTTTAGGGTTAGGGTTCGGGTTCGGGTTTAGGGTTAAGGTTTAGGGTTCAGGGTTTAGGGTTAGGGTTGAGGTTTAGGGTTAGGTCATAGGGTTTAGGGTTAGGGTTAAGGTTTAGGGTTAGGGTTAGGGCTAGAGTTTAGGGTTAGGGTTAGGGTTAAGGATTAGGGTGTAGGGGTTAGGGTTAGCGTTAGGGTTAGGGTTTAGGGTCAGGGTTTAGGGTGTAGGGTTTTGGGGGTTAGGGTTTAGGGTTAGGGTTAGGGTTTAGGGTTAGGGTTTAGGGTTTAGGGCTAGGGTTTAGGGTTTAGGGTCAGGGTTGGGGTTGAGGTTAGGGTTTAGGGTTAGGGTTAGGGTTTAGGGTTTAGGGTGAGGGGTAGGGTTGAGGTTAGGGATTAGGGTTGAGGGCTAGGGTTAAGGGTTCAGGTTTAGAGCTTAGGTTAGGGCTAGGCTTAGTGTTAGGGTTTGGGGTCAGGGTTAGGTCTACGGTTAGGGTTTAGGCTTCGGGTTAGGGATTATGGATTAGGGTTCAGGGTTTGGGTTAGAGGTTAGGGCTTCGGGGGGGTCGGGGCGGGGGTGGTAGGGATGGGGTTCCGGAGCCGGGGCGCGAGCCGGGGAAAGGGGGGGGGGGGGGTTCGCCGACGACGGTTCGGAAAGGGGGGGGGGGGGGGGGGTTCGCCGACGACGGCTCGGGCAAGAGGGGGGGGGGGGGGGGGTTCGCCGACGACGGGGGCGGCCGACGACGGCTCGGGCAAGGGGGGGGGGGGTTCCGAACCCCCCCCCCCCTTTGGGTGATCCAGCGGCGCGCCCTCTGCACGAAAGCGAAGAAAGCACAGGGAATGGACGTCCGAGCGATGGCGAGGAGATGCTTTCAGATGCGTCCCAGATGCGTTGAGAGATGCGGCTGGGAGTGAAAATGTGTCAGATGCGATGAGAGATGCGGTTAGGGGTTCGATGGAGGACGGGGTGTCGATCGATGATGGAGGTGCAATCGGGATCGAAGTGCGATCGAGGTTCTGAGATCGAACGTCGATCTTCGGTCCTCCGCGGAACCCTTCATCGAACCTCGACCCTCGATCGAACCTCGAGGCTAAGGCCCATGCAAGAGGCCCAGGTTGATAAGGAGGGTGAACAGCTCGGACGCCACGCGATGTCGAAGGAGCTTGAGGGGGCTCGGCGGGGCATGATGCTAAGCAAGGCATGCCAAGTCATGGAGCTGCGTGCCGCAAACCTTGTGGTGCAATACCGCTTACGCGGCGCTAACGGTGCGGTGCAGGGGGTTCAGACCGACACCGAGGGTGAGCCTCTGCCCGCATCACCGAAGCCCTTTTCAGATGACGCCTCGGGCGAGATCACCATCCTGAAGAGGAACATCCCCCGACCCTGGTGAGGACGGGGGCGGGAATTTCGGAATGCGGGTGCTGAACATGGCTGTCGGTGCAGTGTGGGTGATTTTCCTGGTGGTGGTGAACCCGTCAGGACAGCCGAGGAGGGGAGTCGAATAATTCTACGTCGGGGGGGGGCAGGGGGCGGCCTTCCTCTTCCTCTCCTCCACGTCTGCCTTCCTCTTCCTTCTCTCCCCCCCTTGTCCTCTCATCCTCGTCTGCGTTCCTCTGCATTTATGCCCCTCCCTTTTCCGTTCAGTCTTCTCCTGCTCGTCTTCCTCCCTCTTCCGCCCACCCCCCCATCCCCTCGCCTATCACCTAAACCCAAAGCAAAGGACGCTTCAGCCGAGATTGCCACTCTGAAGAGGAAGCGCCCCCCCACCCTGGTGAGGATGAAGTCGGGGATTTCGGAATACGCGTGCTAACTCACGCTGCCGATGCAATGGGTGTGATATTCCTTGGGGTGATGAGCCCGTCAAGACAGCCGAGGAGCATGGAACAACAAAGGGGGATCGCATAACAATTCAACGTCAGGGCGTGTGTGGAGTGGGGGAGAAATGGGCGGATGAGGAGTCATGCCTCCGATCCTCTCAAGCGCCCTAACTTGTCTGCCTTCCTCTTCCTCCTCGTCTGCCTTCCTCTTCTGCGCGCCGCTGCACGTGCTGCGGAACCGCTTGGGCCCACCCGGGCTGGACTGGCCATGCAGAGGTGGTCCTGGCGGCCCCCCGCTGAGGGGCCGCGAGGCCTCGGATGTGCGTCTCGCCCGAACGGGGTCTTGAGGGTTCCTAGAGACGCATAATGGATTCCTGAGGACGTTGTGAAAGCTCATGATCTGAAAGCTCATGAAGGGTTCTCTGAGGGTTCATCAAGGGGTACCCGAGGGTTCCTGCGGGGGTGGTGGTCTGGGCGGGGGTTTGAGGTTCCTGATGGTTCCTGGAGGTTTGTAAGGTGCTCCCGAGGATTCCTGAGGATTCCTTCTGCCGATTCCTGGAGGATACGTGAGGGTTCCTGGAGGAATCTTGAAGAGATTCTGGAGGGATTCCCACAAGGATTCCTGCAGATTCCGGAGGATTCCTGAACATTCTGGAAGATCCCAGAATGATTCCTGAAGGATTCCTGAGGATCCCTGCGCATTTCTGAGGATTCCTGAAGACTCTTCAGGATCCCAGAAGGATCCCTGAAGGATCCTTGAGTGATCGCAAATTGATTCCTGGGGATTCCAGAGGATTCTTGAGGAGACCTGAGGATTC